AGCAACACTGTCTCCATTCGGTTTCTGCTCTTGTCTCGTTAAAGACACACTGAGAAGGCTGTGTGAATTGTTCTTTGTAAACAAAAGACTTCCTTGTGATATTATCACTTGTATATATTTTGTCATACTTTATTTTGACATATGTATGACTTTCTTGTGACATACTATGCTTTAAAGTTTTCATGATTTGCTTTATTTTTACTTTTTAGGTCTTCTCTTATGACCAATACCATTTTCTCTCTCTCTCTCTCTCTCTCTCTCTCTCTCTCTCTCTCTCTCTCTCTCTCTCTCTCTCTCTCTCTCTCTCTCTCTCTCTCTCTCTCTCTCTCTCTCTCTCTCTGTGTATATATAGTCCTACTTCTATTTTCTTGTTACTTTTATGCATTTAATTTGGTGGAGAGGGTCCATGCAAAAACAGACACACCACATACATTTTAATATGAGTCTATGCACTTTTTTCCCTACTCATTGTGCCTTGTTTAAGATACCATGATGTACTATTCTAAGATATTTTTGTTACCCTTTATGACATACATTACAGATGGACAGGGCCTCTGCAGATACAAACACTCCACAGATTTGTAGTGTTTCGAAAAATTCCTACTCGTTATGTTTTTGTGACAAACTATATATACTTAGACTTTTTGTAACTTTTTCGGTACCTACCATTCTATGATTTTATTGTACCAAATCATACTTGACTTAATTCTTTTTTTCATACTATTCAAAGGGCAGGGTCTCTGCCAATACAGACAAAACACATACTTATAGTGGGTCATGAGTGATGATTGACAGGGATTATTTCTGTATGAGTCTATGCATTGTTTTTCATTTGGGAAAATCCAACTCATTGTGCCAACCCTAAAGAATCCTTTTATGACTTCTTGTACCAGACTATACTTTGACTTTCTGCGAAATACTACAGTATGACATTATTAAGACTTTTCTTATGACAAACGTTACTATTTCATAAGAAAATCCTACTCATTGTGAGAGCTAAAAGAAACCTTATCCAAGCTACCCTTTTTTTAAGTGATGAGTTCAGTTTTGGTGTCTGACCTTGAAAGAAAACTCAGGAATGTACTGTAGAGTCCAGATTGTTTTTAATCAGCAGTTCTCTAGCTACACTGTTCTTCGTCTGAATGCTGTTTGTGATGATTCCCCAGGTGGAATGGGATCTTTTCATGCCATGGTGAATTCCTCCGTCCACATCATCATGTATTTCTACTACGGCCTTGCTGCTGCTGGACCTCGCTTCCAGAAGTTTTTGTGGTGGAAGAAATACATGACCGCCATTCAGCTGGTACGTACACCCTGCAGTCTGCACTTTCCTGTGTTTGCTTCATCATTAATGTTGCTTAATTTAAAGGGCCCATGTCATGCTTTTCCGGTTATTACCCGTCCCCTTGTGTGTTATGAAGGTTTTTATGCATGTAATCGGTGTGCAGTCACAAACCCTTAAAGTACACCCTGTAGCGAGTAAAACTCTAACACAGAAAATACCTCTTCAAAACGCCTCGTTGGAGATACGTCATTGTCCATTTGATTCTTCCATTTCGTTCCGGGTATGGCATGATGTCAAGCCGTACCCGGAACGAAATGGACCAATCCGTGGAGCCGTTACGTTACGTCCGCGGAGCCGTTACGTTAAGCCCCCGCTGATTGGTCCAAATTGACCAATCCACGGACTTCCTCACACACAGGCAGCTCTCCTGATTTCTCCTCCCTGGCTGCAGGCTGATAACAGACAGTTGGGATCCCGGCAAAATTCTCTCTGCAGACCCATTCTCACAGCGTTTATCAACCTTTTTCTTACTCAATATCAAGCCACACTTATTGTTTTTACTTCGGCTGTGACTTTGTGTGTGCTCAGGATGAGTTTGGCTGTGTTTCGCTATGTATCCTAAACAAGGAAACAACACCTCCACGGAGCTCAGCGCGATTCACAATGTCCCGACCAATCAGAGCACACTGTGCTCACAGGGAGGGTGGGGGCTGGAGCTATTGGAGCTACAACGAGCCGTTAAAGGCAGAGAGTGAAATTCAGTGAATACACGTAGTTTACAGAGATGCTGCATGAGAAACCAATGTGAGTTTGGAAAATTGCACAATATAAATCTATTCTAGTATACCTCAATGGAATTATGATCAGTGGAAATAGCCATGACATGGGACCTTTAACATTTACTTGTAGGCTTCTAGGATAAGGATGATGTAGCTTGAATAGATTTGTTTTAAGAATTGCTCAGTGTCTTCTCAATACCTGCCAAGTTAAAGTCTCTGCTCCAAAGGCAGCGAGACAAATGGCTCAACATTTTCCTAAAGTTAATGTTTGGCTGACGTTTTCCCAAAGTGAATGTTTGGCTGACTCCTGATTTCTTCCCATAGACCCAGTTTGTCCTGGTGTCTCTCCACGCTACTCAGTATTACTTCATGGACAGCTGTGACTACCAGTTCCCCATGATCCTCCACCTCATCTGGATGTACGGCACCTTCTTCTTCGTGCTCTTCTCCAACTTCTGGATCCAGGCTTACGTGAAGGGTAAGCGGTTGCCAAAACAAGACGTTAAGCAGAGCATGAACGGCACCGCTGTCCACGCCAACGGAAAACACCACGAGAACGGCATCAGCGGCTCGAACCGGCAGGAGAACGGCAGCAGTCACAAGATGAAGAAGGCCTAGGAGAAGGAAAACCCTCCAAAGTATGACCATGTTAACCTGTTAAACCTACTACGGATTCCAAAGATAGTTTGGCTGTTTCTTTTCCTGTGTTTAGTTTCATGTGCAACAAAAGGGGAAGTGACATGGTCAATGATTTCCACAGTTGGGGTCCAACATTTTGGGTGGTTCCTTTTTGTTTGATGTTTTATAGTCTGGAAACCATTTATGGAATAAAATGTATGAAGAGAAGATGTTTTATCATCCAAATGTTATCTTCACTGATGTTGCAACAACCTCTTAGTTCAGGATCACACTGGTGGCCTCGCACCTCTCTTGCCTTCACCACTTTTCTGACCCTCACATTGTCCTGACCCCCCCTGTGGACAGATGACTGTACAGTTTCTATCAGACTTGAAAATACTTTTTGTAAATAGTTTTACAGCACAAAAATCCAACTAATTGTATTGGTATGCTTTAGACTTTCTAAATGTTATATTGTGTATTTAAAATTTAAATGCCAATAAATACAATTTTAAATTATCTTGTACACATTGTTTTTGAATGATTGTAGTGGCTTCCTTCCTTGTTTATCTACAAGCCACTAGACGCCTTAAACGGACATGTTTTAACTCGTTTTCTTCCTTTATATGTGTGTTACTTACAGTTTGAAGAGTTGCTTGGCCTCCGATGGTTTGGATGGTATTAAGCGATGTGTTTGCTCAAAAATAAAAGACGCCTTTGCAATATTCAAAACAAATAAATAAGCAAAATTCAAATAAAATAACAAACAACTTGGGTATTCTTTCTTCTTGACAAGGCTTATATAACTGAATAACTTAAAGGTGGCCTTTCTTATAAAATCTAAATACTGGCTCTAACGATGATTATCTTGCAGAAAGCTACTTACTTACTCTATGTGTAACTCGGTTGTCAGAGCGTTGGGGGAAGACTCTGACATTGTGTTGCAACAAAGAAGAAAAGTATTTGTGTTATTTGCTTGGGCCTCTTGTCTCAGCCATCCCAATAATGCGAAGAGAGTGGGAGGTAAACAAGAGCCCCATTCTTCTTTAGAGAAAAGATGTATAGTAAGAGGCAGAGAGAAAGCATCACATCCAGATCTACACCAACACATCTCAACAGCTGGTTCATCAGGGTCAAGAAGTGCTGTCATACAAGCACTCGGAGGAAATGCTTTCCCTATACTCAAATGGATGGCAGCTTAATAAACCACTTATCCAGTACATCTTTTTCTATAAAGTGGAACAAGCAGCTTTTTCTTTCTCATCATTCCATGCCCACACCGTGAATCAACTCCGGTTCAAAATTACATTATGAAACTGAGCTTGTGGGCAGGAAATGAATGCTCTCGCCTGCATTATATATTGAAAGGCGTTTCCAACATTTTCCCTTTCATGTTTGAAAAGAAGTGAGCTCAACATTATAAACCCCCCCAAAGATAAGTTCAACACCACTGTAGACTTCAATAGCACATGTAGTAAAATATATACTTCTGATAGATTTGATCAGAATTAAACAATATAATTGAATTGGACTGCACATGATTGGTCTACATTATAAAGTGACTAGGGGCTTTTTTTTTTGGTCCTATCCAGATAATTAGTTTGTGATGAAGGTGTTTGGATTAAATGAAGTTCAATCAGGAGAGACTTCATTTTGTTTAAAGAACATTTATTGACACATGTCATATGCTAAATGTTAAGTCTTTGGGGATTAGACCCCGATCCTGAAATCGTATATCTAAAGGGGGAAATGCAGCCGTGAGCATATAGGGGACCCCCCGGGGTCTAGACACTGGTGATGATGCTGAAGATCTGGATTTGATGAGGAGATGGGATGAAGAGGAGGTGTGATGAGGTCTTTGGATTAGCTCTCCTGGCACTGGATGTGATGAAAGGAGGTGGATGGGGAGGAGGCGGGCGGCAGCATGACAACCTGAAATCACAGCTGACTGCAGGAGAGAGGAGAACCATTTTAAAGTTTGGCTGCAGCACAGTGATTGGCTGCTGGAGAATGAGGTGAATGTTGTTATAGACAACGCCCGTGATGAGCTGATTATATGCAGCTGCGGAGTGAATGTATATACCAGTCTTCCTGAAAGAACTTGCGCTGAGCTTCATAGAAACTCCCTCTGGAGGGAACTTTGGGATGTTAGCCTTTGCAGACCATTGACATGCACAAAAACCTATATAACAGACTACATGAAAGAGAGAATCCCAAAAAGCATAATAGGGCCTTTTTAAATGAAGTATTAAGTAGCGTTAAATGGCAATACTACAGTAAAGTATCTAAGGTTAATGTGTTGAGGAGTGTGTCTTGAATGAACAGGCAGTAACTCGGTCATTGTTGCATGTTTAATTCCAGGCCAACATTACATTTCATGAGCAATCCATTAAAATACATCCAGTATGAAAACATTCTTTAGGCATTCATTCAGTGCATCAAATCGCTACAGATCTACTACTTATTGTTCTTCAAGTCATTCTCTTTATCTCTTTGTTTTAAGGTCGTGGGGCTGAATCCAGCACCCACTTTAAAGGTATTTGAATTGTGAATGATATCAAGCTATGAGGTTGCTACTACTGTACAGTGTACAGTGATCTGATGGTCCATCATGCGTACCCTGATTGTCTGGGGTGAGATCAGAAAAGCACTAAGAGTCAGACCAATCCTCTCTACTCGTGGGTGGATGAGATGGATGCAGACCGTGGATGTGGTCTGGTTCGCCCTTTAAATGCTTTTTATTGCCCTGAACCGAAAGGCGGCACAGATGAGAACGTGCCGGAGACAGAGTTGTGGTCAGGTTTTAAAAAGATGAAACAGTGGTGGGTGTGTGAGGAGCTCTAAGTGATGTTCTCCAAGATGTAAAATATTAGCTCCATCACGAAGGGCTCGTCGCCTCTCTTGCGCCCCCTGCTGTGAATCACGGGGATCAGCACGCTGTCCAGGGCGTTCAGGTACCGAGCGGGGAGCGGCAGCCCGTTGCTCCCCGCCACAAAGCCCACCTGAAATGACAAAACAGACCTCTGATTAGTTTAAATACACACATACCCTGGAGCTTTTCTCTTATAAACTATACAACTCTGCAAAGTGTGAGTCATACTGCCCTCCCCACCAAAGTTAGACCAGTATGAGTTTTACAAGGTTTCATAAACATTTGAGCAAGTGGACGATTACCTTAAAATCCCAAACTGATGTTATTATCAAATTGTGAACAGATTACCCTATACTGTATTATAACTGGTGAAACAAATAACATGTAAATCTCAATTTTATGTTTGTTTTGGCCTTATTTAACACATCTTTAGGCTAATTCTTATTTCACCTACATGATACCAAAAACTCAATGTAGACACATGACTGTCTGAAGATAGTCTTCACATAATTCGAGGCAGAAATGTTTAAACAAACAATGTGTTTTTCCAGCTATCCAAGTTTAGGGATTTAATCATAATTTTGGTCAACTCAATTATACACCTGTTTTTCTGTCTCTACCCGCCTTACTAATATGTTTTACATTGAAGTCAATAATATTAATTGATTAACAAAATGACACATTTAAATATGTCATTTTAAGGTAGCTTAACCTCACCAAATGAAAGCCAGAGTGCAGGTTGTGTGGCTTGATTTTAAGGTAGTTTTTTCAGCAGAAATTTCATTTGTTTTCACAGAAATTCTACATTTCTATACTATTATCATGGCAGACCACATGTCAAAAAGTCAGATTTCTATCTTAACTACATTCTTAACAAATATGTCTCTGCATTTTTGGATTTGTAGGGCAGTATTCATGATGCAACCTTATTATGTGAGGTTAGTAACAATAAGTAATTGCTGACACCAAACCTCTGTTCTGACCTCTTGAGATTCGAAGGCGACCCTCAGCCCCAGCTTGGCCATCCCGTCCTCTTTCAGCAGTTTGAGGTGAGGACACAGAGCCAGGCAGAAGGCCCGGGCGATCCGCTCCGTCAGCCGGTCGTGTTCAGCAGACTCACTCGCTCCTCTTTTGGGAAGATCCCCCCCTCTGCAGGAAGAACACCTGCGCACATCATACACAGACATTTAAAGAAAGGAAGTTTCAGATGGACCTATGTTCATACTTTAAGCAGATCATTATGTACTTCTGTCCAGCGGATGATCTTTCCATTTTCTTTGTATTCTGACTTCTGGAACATCTTAATACTGCTGATGGACTCCATGGACTTCCCATCAATGGGGCTAATGACACTGGAGGACACAAACACACATTACCGGTTATTAGCAACATACTGTAAACCAGAAATTCAAATGCACTAGTATATTGCTTGGTTGTTTCAAAGCCTGCATATCTTTATATACTCAGAGGTGAAATGAAGCACTCTGTTACAAGTTAAAGCATCCAAAGTAATTCAAAAGGCTTCTCAACTAATAGCACCAAATTATACTTAATTCATTCATTAATAAATATGCTAACTTAGTACAAAGTACAAGTGTTGCAGCTGGTAAAGGAGGAGTTTATTATTTATGTCAGGAAGCCAAGGAATCATTTAACCTATAATAATAGATTTGTCTAATAATAATAACCTGGATTTCTTTTTTAAGTAATTAAAGTGATCTAAAGTGTATAAAAGTAAGTTTAAAAGTAAAAAGTAGATTATTTGATTATATCTAAATGGTGGTGGATTAGAAGTCTAAAGAAGCAGGACCCAGAAAAACTCACGTAAAGACAAGTATAAGTACAAGTACCTTAAACTCCTACTTAAGTGCAGTACTTGAGTAAATGTACTTAGTTACTGTCCACCACTGGTTAGTTTACTGTTATATTCTTCTTATTAAGTATAAAAGCCTCATTCTGCCCCATGAACATCAGACCCATGGGCACACACACTCACCCCTTATTCACAGTGCATTTCTCCTCCACCCACTGCACACACACCAGCTCCTGGCTCTCTGATTGGTCGAGACGACCGCAGGTGACGGTGTAGTCCTTCATCTCGCGCATCGCCCTGCGCAGCTCTGCCATGGTTTCCACGGTGATCTGCACCATCAGCCCATCTGTGGAGAGTGGACAGCGAAACAGGAGAAACAGACGCGCACACACACATTCATACACTCACATGCAGCAACACGGACACACGCCTAGACACACAGTCTGTTAAAATGTACACAGACACACACATGGAAACATCAACACATTCTGAATACAGCAGGTTTGAAGCAGGGGTGCTCACATGCACTACTTTTGAGAAATTAGAGTAAATAATGAATTCCCTGCCTGAACCTGACTCCCCTCTCGCGAACAGTTTACCTTCTACGATGCTGGACTTGGCGAGGTACCCTGCAGACGCCTTCAGAGCACTGCTGAATATAAAAAAGCAGGAGCCAGTAACTGCAATAAAAAGAAAGAAAACATGTTTAGAGACAAACTGTACAGCTACAATCAGTGGCGACTGGTCATTAGCCCACAGCCCCACATAGTGTCAGCAGAAAGAATGCAAAAAATGCAAATAAATGCAAAAGAAATACATCTTAAAATATATTTTAAGATCATGTTTAATCATCTGATTCGTCTGTACATTGCTGTTTTAGTCTGTGTTCTTCTAATTAGTGAGTGTGCCTATTGAGCCGTTTTGAGCGACGTGGGTCAAGCCCCGATCTAGCCCCTCTCTCTCACTGTCAAAGTGAATGGGTGTTGTAAAAACCGCACTGCGCATGCTCAGAGTATTTTTCTGTTCAAAGTGTGCGGCAAAATAATAATCACCATAGGGGCACTGTGCCCCCCTCTCTCTCTATCTGAACCATGGATAGCCTACAGCTATTTGTTTACGTGTTTAAAAAAGCACCAGAAGCTTATATATACACATCTAAGTTGTTCGTGCCCCACCACTTTTGTACATATAAAAACGCCACTGGCTACAATCCTGGTCCTGGACATTAGTTTTGATATCAATGACAAGAAAAACAATTATCATGTAGTGCCATCTTGTGTTACTTTAGGGAACTTAATTTTGTTTGGTGGACCAAAATCCCACATATAACTCAAAGCTACCTCTTTTAATATCTGCACAGCTCTCCACTTTACATCCCAATACTGCACATATTTGTGTCATATTATACTGTAGGCTACTCTACTACTTTTATTGCAGGTTTATAATTTGTGTAAATATTTTTTTTAAATATGTTTTATAATTGTTCTATTTCATGGTCCTTATTCTTACAATTTATCTTCGCTTACTGTGTTTTCGTACGCACCATATGCACCAATATGTGTGAACTTTGCATTAAACCTGATTCTGACTTTTTTTACTCTTTGCAAACTTGATGTTTGCAATTGTTTGTTGTTGCATAGTGTCTTTGATCTTTGTCTATGCTGCAGCAGAATTGCCCTGCGGGGAATATAAACCTCTTTTTATTATAGGTGGATTTTGTCCAACAAATTCACAATCTACTATTTTAAAAAGCTTAAAACTAGTGGATAGCACCAAATAGTCAGTGGAGTTGAGTCTCTCTGAATAAAGCCTTAGTACGGATTAGAGTTCTGATTTATTTATTTTTGTTTCACACAAGCATCAAGGTTTCCCTAAACAAGAAAATGCATTATCTTATCAGTCAATCAGTGTCCCACCTTGTCACAATCCACATTTCTGATTCCTATAAAACTCCTCCACTGCTTCTTGATAATGTATCATGAAGTCCAGCCTCTGATATCTTGTACCCACAGTACCCTGTTATGTCTCACCTTTGCGGGGCTGGTTGTGGATGCTGATGGCCTGGGTCTGGTACTGGCCGTCCTCTGCTTGCACGCAGATGAGGTGAGAGTCTGCGGTCTCGTTGAAGCACGCCCCGATGGCCAGCACATGTTCATTGGACTTATTCAGAGCCTTCATCAGCTAAGGAGAGGGAAAAGATGATCAAAAGAAAATACATAAACAACAATAATAACTCTGATGCATTAAAGGTTTACTCTCACCTCATTATAGCCGGTGGTCGGTAACTTTATGTTGGTCTTCTGAGCCTCTAGATCCACAGTGAGCCCCGGCACCATCGGTAGGCTGTAACGGTAATTCCTAAAATCCTAAAACAAGATGAGAGAAGCGTTAAAGTTACACTGAAAATCAAAGGTGGGAAAAGTTTGACAAACTGTCATACTCACCACTAACAGTCTCATTATAGTGTGGCCAATTTCCCCAAACAAGGGCTTCCTAAAGCGCACGCTGTACAGTGGGCACGGGTAAACTGCAACAAGATATATAGTGTTTAACGCAAGAAAAATACTGTAGCATTTCAGTCGCAGCATCTTATACCTAGGCAAGGCAAGGCAAGTTTATTTATATAGCACCTTTCAACACAAGGCAATTCAAAGTGCTTTACAAGAATGAAAGACATTAAGAAACATATTATAAAATGGCATTTAAAAACACTCATTTAAAAGCAAAGATAATAAAACATGAATAACAAAGGTACATGAATAAAAGTCACAGTGCAGTGTGAGATAGACACATCTGAAATGTTTAGGTCTGACTCTCAATCATGGCTCACTTTTTAGCAGAAATAGTTTTCTTTGACCTCACTTTCTTTCTACTTTCTTTTTTACCTTATCCTTAAGTTATTTCAAGTGTTTCATGCTAAACAAACCCCCCTTTTTTTTTTAAATGTTGCCATATTTGTGTAGCATATAAAATAAATGTGCTCCCAGACATTCATGTGGCTTGCTAGTTTTGGACCCCATCTGTACCAAAGCCTAACTTACATCTGTATTCGGCGCCCAGTCGCAGCATGAGGCGCAGAGGGAAGGCTTTGGCCCAGGTCAGCTCTGCTCGGTGGACCAGCAGGCCGAAGAGGTAGGGCTGGTTGGGCAGAGGGAGGCCCTGCAGGGACTGGAGGGTGGAGCGGACGTACAGGAAGCCCGCGTGCTCCGTACTGCCCAGGAAACTGCTGCCTAACAAGGACAGCGACAGGTGTTTCACAACCTTTCCTGCAGAACCACAGTGGGAAGGAAACATGTGTCATTAGAGCAGGAAACACATTTAATGACAGTTTTAGAGTCCGAAAATGGGCAAAAAGCTATATAAAACATCCTTACTACTATATTCATTCAACAAATGTGTTCACTAGAACATGCACTGAGGTAGAGAATACATTTACAATTTAGCCAAGTTAAGAAACACGCAAATAGGCCTAGAGAGACTCAAATAAAAAGCCTAATAATTAGAGATGGCAAAAGTACACACATCCTTTACTCAAGTAGAAGTACAGATACTCGTGTTTAAAAATACTCTGGTAAAAGTAGAAGTACTGACTAAACTTCTTTACTCAAGTAAAAGAAAAGAAGTATGGGCTTTGAAATGTACTTAAGTAAAAAGTACCCATAACTCCCAGCTGTTTTAAAGAGTACCTGACCTCCCTTTATATTAATAGAACAATAATGTCATTGTTAGCTAATGAATGTTTCCATGCTGAACAACGGCAACATGACAACGTTTTCATTGGTCCCTCTTCTTTAGAGAAGACCAGGAAATGATGGATACACGGATCGTGTTCAAATCAATAGGCACGCAATGACTCTAAATAATAATGATCACGCCACCAAACACACATTCAAACTAAAGTAACCAGCCTGTTTTGAAAATGTAAGAAGTAAAAGTAAAAAGTAATCAGAAAAATAAGTAGTGGAGTAAAGTACTGGTACCAGAACAATTTATTTAAGTACAGTAACAAACTATTTGTACTCCACTACTTCCCACCGAATTAATAAAGCACTTAATTCAACCAAAACAAGAAAAACCAACGGTGAAATAGAAAGACATTCATATTTTAAATTGCCCTGAGGATAAATGCAATGTTTAAAGTTTAAGATTGTTCTGCATGATGTTCGATGATACAGGGGCACAATGAGAAAACTGGATCTTCTAAGCTCAGTAAAAAAAAAATCTGGCACCTGCAACATTATCCAATCATTTAAGTGTGTTCAATTACGGCCCCCACATTGAGAGATAACAAACCAAGCCTTGAGGGGGTAGAAAACTAGTAAGGGCCTTTTAAATAAATAAAACCCAGTGTGTATCACAGCTTACAGAGAGAGAGAGAGAGAGAGAGAGAGAGAGAGAGGAGAGGAGAGAGAGATGAGAGACAGGAGAGAGATGAGAGAGAGGAGAGAGAGAGAGAGAGAGAGAGAGAGAGAGAGAGAGAGAGAGAGAGAGAGAGAGAGAGAGGGCCACTCTGACTCAGCATACAGCTCACAAAGAAGAGTTTTATAATACCTCCAGTAATACTACGACTGTATATTGTGTGTGTCTGACCTGTGAAGGTGTCCCTGTACAGCTGGATGAAGTGGCTGAAAATGTCTTTGGGGAAGCTCTTCTCTTCAGGCAGACACTGCAGCAGCACCACCACCTCCACCTGGCCCACAGCGTGCATGCCCTTAGTGGTCACACACCAGCACTTCCTGTTCACATCTGTCACACAACAAAGGCATCATGTCAGAGGTAAACAAGGTCAGTTTGCACCTTTAAAATCATTCAGTCAAACATTTTGCACTCAATAACAATGTTTTTTGTCGGATAACAGCAGTGTGTAAAATATGTTGCAAATGAGTGATTGTGATGTTATGTTAAATGTATTGTGTTGGGAAAATACTGAATGCATTCTTCCAATATCAGAGTTCAACCGCTATACCTGCATCTTGTGACTGTAACCCTCTCTTCAGCATGTGAAGGACACTGTTCAGGAACTAGTTGTACCAAATGCTCTGTATGTGATGACTACTTCCATTCTTGAGAGGATAATAAATACATGTATCCTGATATTGAAGCTCAAGCTGGTGACGAGTGATATTTTTCTAACATATTGTGTCTTTATATTTGTCCATGTTGATGTTACAAATGGAGCTGCTATGATGCAAGTCAAATGTCAGACTTGATCTGACCATTAAAGTATTATCGTGTCGTATCGTATTTCCTGAGCACACAATCATCGACAATAGAAAGAGAAATCTAACGTACAGTTGACCAGTTTGACCATAGCGAGCAGGTTGGCGTTGAGGACGAACACCAGAGGTTTTGGTCGGCCGCTCTCCAGCTCCTGGATGAGCAGCGTCTCAGAGGGCTGCTCCTCCACAGTGTAATCTGAAGAGAAAACAGTAACACTGACATTAGATCAAAGTTTCTTCTACAACTGCTCATTTTCATGACCTTGAAATATGTTCAGCTTCTTGGTATCTTTTCTACAAAATTCAACACATTTCTACTTCCTTGTCTTTTAATTTGTATAGTACAATGCCATGTCTTTTTATGCTGCTGCAACACAAACATTTCCCAAATTGAGATCAATAAAGTACTTCTTATCTTATCTTATCTTATCTTATCTTATCTTAAGTCCCATGCCAATCAAGAAGCAAAAGGCAAGGTGAAAAGTTAGTCTCTGATGTTGAGGAGTTGACAGTGTGTTGACAAAAGGAAGAGCAAAGTAAAGCATTATAGGCGTGTGGCGCAGTGGTTAGAGCGTTGGTGTTCGGATCAAGGGAGCACAGGTTCAAACCCCACTGCAGTCAGCATGTCGTTGTGTCCTTGGGCAAGACACTTCACCCCAAATTGCTCCTGTGGGGATTGTCCACAGTATTGAGTATGTAATTCACTTTGGATAAAAGCATCTAACAAGTGACATGTCATGTAATAATGTAATGTAACTAAGTGACAGCAGAGGCTACAGAAAAATGCTGAATAACCTAAATTCAGGGGCGTTTAAAAACAATAACAATAATAAAAGCTACCAGTCTTTATGAGAGCCAGGCTTAAACAATGGTTTTCTTTTAGCTGGCGCAAGAAAGTCTTTTTTTATAACATTGTATGCAAATAAAAGAGCTTACCTAATGATTTCAAGATTCAGAAAATAAACTCATTGCTGGGTAAGGATTAATAACCATTGTCTAAGCATGGCCCTATTAAAGATGCAAGGACAGGTAGCTTTTATTAATGCTATTGTTTTTAAATGCCCCTGTTTAACCAGGCTGAACAGGGTCTACATTATGATTACTGTGGCAGCCCAATAGGGAATAGTCCTTGGAATATTCGAAAAACAAAATCACTACTTAGTCTTTTATTTACAATAGACATGTCTTTCATTCAGGTTATTCTGCTTTTGCTGTCACTTAATTTTGATGCTTTACTTTGCTCTTCCTTTTGTCAACACACTGTCAGCTTCTCAACATCAGAGACTAACTTTGAACCTTGCTTTTAGCTTCCAGATTTTCATGGGACTCCTTTTTGTTTGTGGCTCTCCTTTCATCTTTGCACCGTGCACACTTGACAGGAAATGCTGATACCAAGAAAGAGGCCTAAAAGATATTCCACGGTGATGAAATTAACAGCATCTGCGCTACATAAGCAAATACATCTACACAGTCATCTTGCTAAATCGTTCACTCTCCTGTTGAATGGAAGCTGTCTCACCTCCTTTGACCCCAGTGGAGGTGAGGATGGGGGGGAGACCCTCCAGAGGGATGAGGTTTGCAGAGCTACTCACTAAAGCTGTGGTGCCCCAGCCGTAAGGACCACAGGCCTCCTAGAGGAAGAAGGGAAAAGAGCAGTAAGACCACTTTCTTTTTCTCCAAGAACAATATGTAATGTTTTGGGTGGTCCTACATTGATATTAGTCCCATGTGGTCTCAAGGCTCTCCTGATCTGTGGTGAACCCCCAGGACTTCTAGAGGGCCCGCCCAGCGCTCGTCTCATCAGTGGAGAAAACCCTCGGACAGGTGTGGTCGGGGCAGATTCAGACTGCTTCAGAGGGAGGATTTCATCTGCAAACCACACCCTCCTTTTCCCCCTCGGAGATGTCCCTGAGGAGAGAAGAATTGCTTATGCAAATAGTAAATAAAAACTCAACTTTAATTGAATAAAAATAAAGCTGTGCTCACTTTTGAGGAGGGTTGAGTGACAGCAAACACAAACTCGTCCCTCCTTTCCATCCAGATGTGTGAGTCTGAACTTCACATTGGAGCAAAGTGCACAAAAAACCTGGCGAACACACATGACACACATACATTTTCAAGTCACCTGTCACGAGGTAAGTCTTATTTCAATTTAAATCCTATAAAATGTTCCTCACCTTCCCACAGGCTCTGCAGTGATGCCTCCTCTTGGTGAACGTAAACTTGACCCCACACTTCATGCAGACCTGCGCCTGGGCATCAGGGACCCACACTGGAGCGATCTCCCCAAGGACGGTGCCTCGATCCTTGGACAAAATGCCAACAGGGCTCAGCTGGGAATCATTGTCAGGATCCAGAGGAGAGGTGGCACATTCCCCCGTCGCTCCCTCCCCACCGCTGCTCGTCTCCTCTCCTCCATCAGATCTGACCTTGGTCTCTGGTCTCTCCTCCAGCTCCTTCTCTTCAACCACAGAGTCCTCCTTCGACGGGGGGTCCTTCTTCTTCTCCTCCTCCTCCTCATCTGCCACCTCATCCTCTTCCTCCTGGTCCTCCTCTGGCCATGCAGCCTCAGCAGGGCTCAGCACCAGGGGGCTGGGCGTCTCCCCGAAACAGCTCTCCCCCCATGTGGAGATGGAGGTCACAGTGCAGCTGCCCTCCTCCAGCTGGGAGGGTGAGGCGGCGTCGGCAGGAGGTTCGGATGGTTTCTGCTCACATGGACCCAAGCTGCTCCTCACTGCTGCTTCTGAAGAGGTCTTAGAGGGAGATTCTGCTCGGATTTGGCCGCAACCCAAACCCGGTTTGGACACGTCTCCATCTTTGAGCACCAGCAGGCAAGGTCTGTTCAGCCAGTGGTGCTTGGTGTCCTGGAGAGACGGATTGTCTCCTTCATCTGTTTCAAGGGGGAGCATGATGATGATATCAAGACCACTAAATGTCTCTTTTGCCTTTTTCTGTCAAGCACACACACTTAATTAGTGTCATTAGTAATGAGTCATTAGACGGGAAATGTTCACGTGCTTAGTGGCCATTTAACAGCATGTGTTAATATATTTATTCACCCAGGACACACCTCTTAGCTTTCAATCATCACTGAAGGCAGCATTACTAATTTGCCCTTGAGGTGTATTTGAGATCATAACAGAAGAAAACAAGTGGTTAAAAAAATAGGTTTGTTGTGGACTAAATATTGATGTAAAAACAATAATTGTGTTTGTTGTTAATATCTCATTGCTGCTATGGTTCACCAGAAAGCCAAAAGTTCAACAGAGGCTCTGTTACCACATCTAACACAGGATCTACATACAGGTTTTTTATTGGCTTACAGCTGTTCATGCTTGAACCGTTGGTCCATCTGTTAAGTGGCTTTCATGGATAGACCAAAGACAAATGCATATGGTAATAAAATCAAATGGTTTGCACATTTCACTCTGGGTGGTTTTCAAATCATCCCCTGCACATAATCTTAAATCTAGTAAGGAACTACTGTCAATAGTCAAATGTGCGATTTAATTCTGAATGACTGCATTCATAGCCTCCGTTAAAAGGCATATACCTTCTCTGATTGAAGCCAATTACTGTTCTAACAGCCTTCTCTCTCACGTAGTAACCATTACTGTTAATTACTAGCACACAAGAGGGGAGTAAATGTGTCCATAGCTGGTGTTTCATTGAGCACTAAGTGATTCATGACTCAGGACCCCGTAGGCTATGTGAAAACCGCTAGAATAATGTTACAGGATAACAACCGGAAAACTGGATTTATATTGAATGGGAATAATCTTATTTTCCAGATTAAATTGCATTGCAGCCCCCTGACAGAATCAAAATAAAGGCGGGTCGTGTGGTTCCTGCTGCGGGCTATAGAGTGGATATTTCCCGGTGTCACGGTGCACGGATCCGGATGACCGGAGCGATGATCGCATCCCGGGACAGTGACGCATGCAACACACGTGTACGATGTTTAATCCGCTCGCAGGCACCGAGGCCGGCAGCAATGCGACACTCACCCCGTTACATCAGAGCAGGACATCTCACTGAGAGCCGCTGTTTACGGTCTGCGGACAGCGCGTCAATGTGCACAACACTCGATATGTGCGCAACACACACACACACACACACACAAACAGATGATGCGGACTATGCGCGCTGCCAAATGCTGTATCAGCGATTTTCTGTGACAAACACAGACGCGCATGCAGTATCATCACATTGTAACGCACCGGCTATGAATGGGGGAGTAAATCATCCCCTCCCCGCTGCAGTGAATCGCATTTCTTACCCTCAGTTATTCCTCCCAAAAGGCTTTCATTCTCGTCATCCCGCGCAGAGAAGAACTTGAGCATTTTATCCGGTTACATGAGAGAGCCGAGCAGCACGGATTCAGGCAGCAGTGCCTTGCTCACAAGCGGAGGATGGGGTGATTTTGCCTCTCTTCCCCCTCTCTGTGATCTCCCTCCTCCCCTGTGTCTCTCTGCAGCTCTTTGAAGAAACTCAAGAGGTGTGCAGAAACGTCCCTCCCCAGTTTGCTGTCTGCACAACCCGCAGGACAGAATACAGGCCAAGACAACTGAGACATAATGTAAGATGATGGGATGTGAAAAGCCTGCACAACCTGACACACTGATGGTTATATGATTACATTAGTAGATCCATGCAAAACTGAGGAGTCAAATTAGTTTGGGTGAGAAATGATTAATGACCACAGCACCATATACAAAATGTGAATCACTTTTATTTTGTTTCATAAACAAAAAAGTCTTAAGACTCACTTTAATGACCACTGTAATCCTGACCATGACTGACAGTGTTGTGAAGGGATTTAACCAGAAGGGGGTATTATTTTTTTTTAGAAGTGCACAAGCCAGTCTGACTATCAGTGGGCCATCGTAAAATAGAAAAGTCTCTGGTTTTGGGGAAACATGGGGTAGTGTCTGATATGTCTGGATAGACTTAAAAACACAGGGGTAGGGTTCTTCATTGCAGTCCAGCCCGAGTGCACAGGAACTTCACGTGCGTCAGTTCGCCTCGTTCTTTGACGCTTCATCAAAGTTCTCCACCAGATCTGTAGAAAGACAACATATTGTGAATTATTACATTATAGGAAACTGTTTTTTACTACTTTCCAAAATGATTTTTTTCCAAGGATTACAGCAGAAACCATACACATTAAACAAAGTGGGTCTTTTTTATTGACTAAATAATAGACTTGTAGGCTTTTGAGATCTGCTGTAGTTTAAAATCTGACTTTCAAACGTCTGATGGTTCATACCTGGAACATCATCATCCTCTTCCTCGATGTCCTCTGCCTTTGGAGCCTTGCTGTCGAGAGCTGAGATGAAATAAAACATATTATAGCATTAGATTTTAAGAATTCTCACACAGATTTTTCAATATTTTTTTAAATATACATTGTATATATTTCTTATTATCAGCAAGTCACATGAAAGGAGCAAGAGAGAACATTTATTAACCCTACTAACAAACCTTTCTGTGCGACAAAGCCTGATATATCTTATTCCTCTGTGCCATAGACCTCTTCTATAGCTTTAAAAACTATAAAAACTCATCAGTAAGCAACACCTTTACACTGACATGAAGCTTCATCATAATGAACATGTGACCTGTAGTTTATTTTGAGTTCATCCCACAAACTCCATCCAGCTGTTGTAAATCTTACTGGAGCATTTAATTCATATATGAATCCACCAGAAATACACTTTCTACTCCTGTTTGAGTAAAGTTTGCTCAAACATACAGTGGCCTGCTGTTGAAGGACTATTATGGAGCCTTTATTCTCCACACCCAATATTTTCTTGTGTCAATATTGTTATGCATGCTGAAAGGAAGTTCAATGTTTAAAAAAGGTGTGAACTTGTGATGTCCGAGAAGTGTGTTTAGTATTTCTGTACAGCGAGGCAAGTTTATTTAGATAGTTGATTTCAACAAAAGCATTTCAAAGTGCTTTACAAGAAATGAAAAACATTAAGAGCATTAAAGGAGAGGTGTCATGGCCATTTCCACTGATCATAATTCCATTGTTGAGGTCTACTAGAATAGATTTATACTGTGCATTTTTCCAAACTCACATTGGTTTCTCATACAGCATCTCTGTAAACTACGTGTATTCACTGAATTTCACTATTTGCCTTTAACGGCTCGTTGTAGCTCCAAAAGCTCCAGCCCCCACCCTCCCTGTGAGCAGTGTGCTCTGATTGGTCGGGACGTTGTGAATCGCACTGAGCTCCGTGGAGGTGTTGCTTCCTTGTTTAGGATACATAGCGAAACACAGCCAAACTCATCCTGAGCACACACAAACTCACATCCGAAGTAAAAACAATAAGTGTGGCTTGATATTGAGTAAGAAAAAGGTTGATAAACGCTGTGAGAGTGGGTCTGCAGAGAGAATTTTGCCGCGATCCCAACTGTCTGTTATCAGCTGCCTGCTCCCTGCACACAGATGTGTGTGTGAGGAAGTCCGTGGATCGGTCAATTTGGACCAATCAGCGGGGGCTTAACGTAACGGCTCCGCGGACGTAACGTAACGGCTCTTCGGGATTGGTCCATTTCGTTCCGGGTACCGCATGACATCAGGCGGTACCCGGAAGAATCAAATGGGCAGTGACGTATCTCCAACGAGGCGTTTTGGGGAGGTATTTTCTGTGTTAGAGTTTTACTCGCTACAGGGTGTACTTTGAGGGTTTTGACTCTGCACACCGTTTACATGCATAAAAACCTTCATAACACACAAGGGGACGGGTAATAACCGGAAAAGCATGACATGGGAGCTTTAAGATATAGTTCTACAGAAACACATAAGGTGGAACTAGCCCTCGATGAAGAAGTGCACTTCTCCTTTAAGATGTCTTTGTTGGTTATTTTTTTCTTTTGGAAGATAACAATATGGTTGATTATGATTATCATGTCACTGGTCCATTTAACTCACACTACTAAATATCCTTTAAAACAATTGAGTTGTTTTTAAACAATTACTTAAAGGTAGGGTAGGTAAGAATGGAGAAACCAGCTCGAGTGCGCTAGAATTTGAAAGTACGTAGCCGAAAAAAATCTGCCCCTTCCTTCAGACTTCCTTACAGAGCCCCTCCTCCAACACACACGAACGCGCACACGACCAATGAGGCACCAGATAAGTTTGTACACAGATGGAAGGCTGACAGGCAGGTAGGCCATCCAGTTATTTTTAGCCGGACCGGCTCAGATGATTGGTCGTGCTTTTTACAGCGCCACGGCTTCCACAGATGACCTTTTTTTATGTATTTATTGTCAAAGCATTTAATGTATTCATTGCTATCGGGCTGTTAAGAGCATTCCATGGAATATAACAAAAAGTGTTTCTGAAGTGAATTACCTACCCCACCTTTAAGTTGAGTATGAAAGGCCTTTTAAAAAATATAATGGAAAAAGGGAAAACTTTAACAAGAGCAAAAAAGCAACAGGATAGATTCCAACTCATCTTAACCAACAGGCACCATAATAACTAAACGTATAATCACCCAAAACACCCGATCCTTCCTTCTCCACTAACAAAAGGTCTTGATTTAGGTATTTTTATACATTGAATGATTTTGAAATGTAAAAAAGCTGCAGATGCTTCTCTCAAAAAAAGGAAGTGACTCATCTTAACTTAACCTTCCTAAAGCCTCTTCCTCTTTCTCAGTGATTGTAAGAGGTTCAGAGCTCAGTGAAGTTGAGGCCCACCCACCTTGCCGGGGGAACTGTTCTGCCAGTTTGCGCAGGCTGCTGAGGCTGTCGGCTCCCAGCTGGCTGAGGATGCCGGGGAGCATCTCTGTCAGCTGCTTCGTCTCAGCATGACCCGTGATGGCGAAGGTGTTGGCGGAAAGAGAGGCCTGCACTTTGGGGTTGTTGAAGTGGATCACTGTCCCGTCATCCTTGATCATGTTCACCTGAGAAGAGACCATGCCGTTTTCAAAATGACAGCTAAAATGTCTAGTGTCGTAAGATGTGAGGGTCACTCTATGCTGAGTAAATGTAGACAAAGTACTTCACAAAAAAACACATCAGTTCAAATCCGTATAGTTTACAGCCACAGAAGAAAGAAAGCATCACAATACTGTCAAAGGTAGAACAACAACTCAGGGTTTGTTTATGCTGAAGATCTATTACCAATTTACCTCTTCAATTCCAGCAATATTGTTGACAGCCAACTTCTTCAGTGAACTCTGAAGCTTTTTGTCGTCAGCTGTTGCCGTTCTGTGAACCACCTTCTTCTTCCTGCGCGCAGATCCCTAAAACAAAAGTAGAAAAAGGACTCCTAAATGACAGACACTTTAAGAGAGTTATAACAAGGTTGACCGCATTAGGTGGAAAAAGGAAAGGTTGTAGCGGAAACATTGCCTTTGTTGTTGCATTATAGTATTTCAAACAAGGCTCTCAATTCAATTCAAATATGATTCATTCACAATAGTATAGACTGCAGCACTTAAGTCCAAAACATTTGAACGTAAGTGCTGCAGTCTATAGTCAGACAGATTTTTAAGCTGATATGGATATAGTTATTTGAGAGTTGAATTTGTTTTAATATTGATACATCTGCTATAAGTGCATAAACATACTGTATCAACTTAATTAAGGGCTCATTAATATCCCTTAAAATGTGTTCAATGCTCTCCAGCAGACAAACTATGTGATGGTGTCACTATCAGAGAAACTAACTTAAATGTATCTTTTACAGATTGTTTTAAATAAAATGTTAGAGAACAGTGTAAATACACACACATAGATTTCTCAGATTACAAAATAATATCTATAAAATTGCAGCTTGTGTTTGACTATCAGATGAGCTGAATTTACAGCTGTTCAAAAACGCTTTACAAAGACAAAAAGAAAAGTCAAAATAAAATCAAGTTTTATCACTAGGATATTAAAGTTACAGATTAAGTGTTTTAATGCAATGATTGTTTCAGTTCTACATAATGCAGGATTACAACATTTACATATTAATATTATTATTGATAATGATCTTATCTGAAGTAAGACTCATTCATTTTTGTTTTGAAAATGTAACATGCCACCTCCAGAACATGAATTTTATAAATACAATAAAGACTAAGTCTAAAACACAACATTTTATCATGGAAAGATGCATTGTGATTTTTGGTGAGTATAGTTTATTTGACTTAATGAAAAGGAGAGATCACACACCCACATCTTATTATAATCCTCATCAAAACAGAAGAACACTTCCTGGATGGTAAACTCACCTTTCCTCCTATCCGCACTTGGGCTTGAAGTTTTGCTAGTTTTTCTTGATTCATGTTTTCACCTACAGAATAAGAGAATTGCATAAAACATCTTGAAAACAAATACATGTGAAGTGAAACCAGCTAAACAACTAGCATGCTGCTGCGTTCACTGACGACTGAGAGATACAACAACAACATGTCATGAGCTAACCAGAAATATCCCTGAACAAATACAGTAACAGAAATCAATGTTAATTATCAATATGTAGACCAATAATGAAGCCATAAAGAGACATTTTAATGACAGCTCGCTGCCATAATAATAACACACACTAGCTGAGCATGCAGCTGCAGAGATGACAACACAGGGCCACACACTGAACACACACACACTGCACACACAGCTTGTCACGGCTCGGTTCGGCCCGACAGCTCCGCCCCGAACACACACACACAAACACTCACTTCATATGGACCCCACTTTACACACACATCAACATTTATGATGCCAAACCTGGTCAAATGTCCACACAGGCATGCGGTTCTGAAAGATGGAGGTTATGAGGAAGAGATTACGTCACGAATCATACGGATTTTTCTTCTTCTACGTTTTAAACAGCTGCAGGGATTTGAGTGAAGTGATGCCACCTATATGATCTTCTGGGTATTACATCAACAAACGCTGCTGCCATATAAAGTCATGGTGAGAAAGAGATTAAAATAGACTTGTGTGAGTTAAACATGCCTTTTCACAAACAATGAAAACAATTGTTGAATTCAGGAGAAAATGGAAGATTTTATATGCGTAATCAATAAAGAGTAATCATAAGAAACTTCACAAACCGCTTCTGCAGCATTTTATTCCTGTTTAAACATAACAGCAATCTCCTACGAAGCCTAAAGTGAGCATCTGAAATAATATTTGATTAATATGTACACATTTATATGCACATTATTTTAAATAAAAGCTATTGTAAATTAAATTAGTGTTTATTTGTATTATTTAAGTGCATTACATTTTACTTTTCATGTTTTCCTGTATTTAATTACATTACATGTCATTTGTTAGATGCTTTTATCCAAAGCGACTTACAGACATTCAGTACTGTGGACAATCCTAACAGGAGCAATTTGGGGTGAAGTGTCTTGCCCAGGGACACAACAACATGCTGACTGCAGTGGGGTTTGAACTTGCTATCCCCTGATTCGAAGTCCAGAACACAATATCCACTGAGCCACAGCCTCCCTAATTGATAAAATAGCAAGTGTACTTTACTGATGCGTAATCCTGAAATGTATTTGTCCTCTGCTTCACTTTCATGTTCACAGTATCCATTTTGTGACCATTTTACTGTATTTAAATCACAGCTCTCAAAGATGTAAGCACTAAACCACCTAGTTTATAAATCCTTAATACATAGAATTAATTATAATGAATACAATTGATTGACATTTAACAATTATGATTGATAATAAATGAAAAAATATATATAATAAAATGTTTTTGCCGGTGAATAATAATAATAAACATTTTTTTAAATATTCAATTTGCTCTGGAATATTTATTTTTTATGTTGACCTTTATTAAATGGTTCACCCAAGAAAAACATTTCATGAAAGATGAACACAAAAGCGCTTGTGCAGAATGTTACATTTAGAGTAATGTACAGTACATATTAAATACAAGCTGACCACTGATGACCCTGCTCAGTTAAATAGATAATTAAATGCTACAAATATCAAATCAGTGTGTGCAATTTACATTTAAATATCTCTTATAGATCAAAATACAAAATGCTGATGTGCTCAGTTATCTTACATTATTTTTTACATTCTGCTGCAGACATTTGTTTTCCACATTTACCATATGTTCACATTGTAATCCAAGTAATACCTAGTATATAACCTCACCATTAATGTGTGGTCAAAACACAGAGCCATGCGCACAGGCTGGAGCTGCCTAAGGGACATCTCACCAGCATTATGAACAAAGACAACACATTATCCAATAGTAAAAGAGCAATAACAAACAAATCATACTGCGAAAGCAATATTTTTGGAGCACTGTGAATATTTTCGACAGATTTTGTTCAGAACAAACGATGCATTAAACAGCTGAAAGTAAAAAAAACAAGTTAAGTCCCACATTACACAATAGAGCACAATACTGCCAGGTCATGGTGACTACACTAAAACTCCAAAGAGAACATGAAAACTAACTTTATACTAGTTGTTTATGTCATAACTTTCACTGTTTGTATTCCAACATATTTCTGCACGTCTTCACAGCTTCTCACTGCTTTTAATTTCCCCCTCAGATCAAAGCACTGTGACCCGGGTTAAGGCGATGGATTCGATGGCAGTTTCTGGCACAGGTAACCGACTGAGGAAGCGTGAGTCAGTGAGACCAGCTCCAGAGTTGCTGGTCTCGTTCGAGCTGCGGAGGATGCTCTGCTGCCAGCGGTGAAGGTTGTGAGAGTTTGAGCCCCAGCAGCAGTGGAACAACATGAAGATCTTCTTCAGAACAGCCTTCCTCAGCAGGATGTAGACCCAGGGGTCCAGGATCTGGTTCCACGTGGCCATTCGAACCACCATCAGGAGACTGAGGTACGCCGGCTCGTCGTTGGAGTTAATGCTCATCATGATGACACGGATCTGGGAAATAATGTGACAAATAAGACATAAATAGACTGAACAATGTATAATTTAATTTAAGTCATGTTCTTGTCCAATTCTAAATATAACAAAGATATATGATGCTCATTTTCAGGTTCATATTTGTAATTTTCAGGTTTATATTTGTAATTTGTGCTTTGTGTAAATGAAAGAAGTGCCTTTTTGACTGTTCGCTATGATCCAAATATACAGGAGGTAACCTATAGCATGTTTTGAAATACCCCAATGAAAAAATGTAGGCCCATTTCGTTGGTCATATTGCCATTTATGGACAAAAAAACATGCAGAAAATATGTATTTTAGCAGACGAGGAGTATGGAAAGTAATGAGCGACGGATGTAAATCACAGTGTACTTTTGCAGCAGTGCTGGGAAGCATGAAGAATGTAAGGAGTGTTATGAAGAGCATGTTTGTAGAGAAGGAGACGCACATCTTTTTCAACCAGGAGCAAAAAGTAGTTTTTATGTGGGGAGAATGCCCCAGAGATCTAGACATACAGCAGCATTATTGAAGCGTTTGAGCCTTGATGTGATAAGGTAATGGAGGAGAGCTTCAGTGGCAAAGAATGGACGGATAGGAGGAAGCAGAAAAGCAGCGATGCAGAAAAAAACACCTTGAAAACAACCTATTCTTGAGTCATCTTCGTCACACATCAGATAATAAAACCTGTCATGCCTCTGTCTCACTTCAAAACCCATTTTACTGCAGCTGTCACTTTACACCTACCAATGTTCAGAAACCTTGACAGACACGCTGGCCAAAAGGAGATGTGGTTTGAACAATCGAAAAATAATGGCATGTGAGAATGTAAATGTAATGATACATGTAGATGTATAAAAGGAAACTAATAGTGGCTAATTAATATATTAATAACAATGGAATTCCAACCCATTTGCATGGTTTAAGGCTGAAGGTACAGTATTTATAGGTTTATGAGACAGGGACAGTGTTAGTCAAGATGCTATTTATCATCTGTAGTCCCATGGCAAGTGTTGCGAAGCCACCTTAAACATTTTTATAGAGGCCCTAATAGGCTTTTTAGGGTTTCCCTTTCCTGTAGTTTGTTACATAGGTTTTTGTGCATGTAAATGGTCTGCAGAGGAACTCATTTGTTTACATAGTGACATCATTACATTATTATTAAATGTCATTTGTTAGACGCTTTTATCCAAAGCGACTTACATACATTCGGTACTGTGGACAATCCCCACAGGAGCAATTTGGGCTGAAGTGTCTTGCCCCAGGGACACAACGACATGCTGACTGCAGTGGGACTCGAACTTGCTATCCCCTGATTTGAAGTCCAGCACACTATCCACTGAGCCACAGCCTCCCAGCTGATGTAACTGGCAATTACATCAGAATGTAACTCTATTGGCTAGCGCTCCAACACATTGTACGTGATAAGCTAAGGGGCGGGACATCTCTAAGCGGTTAATCAATCACAACAGAGCCAGCCAGCTAACCAATCAGAGCAGACTGGGCTCTGGTTTCAGACAGAGGGAGAAAAGAGGTGCTGCAGCACAGGCAGTATGAGAAAAATAAAGAGCTTTTTGAACATTAAAGCATAGAGACATGTCACAGTAGAGACACTAAATACAAATATGAACCAGAAATGTCTTCTTTAAATGTCTACTGAGGAGAAATCTTACCAGTAATGGACCCCAGCACACGCAGGACACCAACATGATGGCCTGCAGCTGGCAGATCATCTCGATGTGGTAGGACGTGCCTCTGCAGTGGTGCTTGCGGCTCAGTCTGGCCTGCACCAGAGTGCAGCTGGTCAGTGCGTTGCACACAATGGAAAGCAGCAGAGCCATCAGCCCCAGCATGGAGAACAGCAGAGGCAGCAGCACATCCAGCCAGTCTTTGGGTTCCTCCATGTAGAAGAAGCACCAGCTCCTGGTGCTCTGAACCCTGTAGGGTCTCAGCAGAAGCACCGGCAGCAGTGCCACCAGAGCAGCCAGCAGCCAGGTGAGGCCCAGCAGCCGTTTCATGTGGCGTGAGGCTAACGCTGTGGAGTGGAAGATAGGCCTGGTGACTCCGAGGCAGCGCTCCACCGCCATGGCGCTCCCCAGGAACAAGGGGCTCAGTCCGAAGAACACCATGCACGCCCCGAAGGCGCTGCACACAATGTGGTGGGGGTCAAACGTCTCCCATTCCTTGTGGAAGCTGTACACGATGAGCACCAGGGAGCCGTTGATCAGGTGACCCAGCAGGTCTGTGACCACCAGGCTGCTGGCGAACAGCAGGAAGGACGCCTTGGACTTGATCCGGATGCTACTGTAGGAGGTGACGAGGATGAAGAGGGCGAGGCTGTTGGAGAGGACGCCCACAGTCATGGAGATGGCGGAGGCGGTGACAGAAAGATCCTTCTGGCTGCAGGTGCTGTTGCTGGGTCTGACCTCTGACCTGCAACCTGCCTCTGAGCTCCCATTGGCTGACATGATGGAAATTAAATCTGGAGAGGGGGGTAATGGCAGTTTGGATGCATTTTTCACTTGTAGTATTGGATTTAAACTTCAGATGCTTTAAAAATGCATGCAAATGTATAATTGTGTGAAATAACCCATAATGTCAGCTTTAAATAGGGTGTTTTCAACATTTTGCTACAAAGCTCACATGCAGTTTTGGCTGTGACTATGGGTGCAGTGAACGCTACTTTATCAATACTGACGATCAGTATAAACATCTTATTTTGTTGAATTTCCACATTCTCATTAGCCTATAACTTTTGTAAATGACACTGTAAATGAAAATCGACCTCACTTACTTACCTTTCTTCAGGTTTAATCTTTTGTTTAAACGCCTCTTCCCCCTCTGTCTCTTTTATCAAAGTCAATAAAGCGACATGTAATCAGCCCGGCAGTAAATGCCATTGAATCCCGATCCTTCTCTCCTCAATAATCCTATCGAGGCGGTG